ACATTATAGTCACACTGGGATTGGATATTAAGTTAAATAGTCACCTTCATCTGTATCCAAAAGATACTTTACTTTTTTATTATCAAAAATGTGGAGAGTGGCGATTGAAGAATGTATAGATTCCCTGTTCTGTATTGATCTTTCTGCAGAAATTTTACCACCAATTGCTCATCTCTGCCTGGATTACTTCTTATATTCATTTGTGCCCATTGGAAATTTTCTATATTAATTATTTTTATATCCTAATATCTATTGACTTTCTACAGTGTAAATGAACATACCTTTTATTATTCCATACCATTAAATGTTTGTTTTATTTGCTATCATTGTGGTCCTGGTAATTTTTTAAATTAAGTATTATGATCAGTCTATTACTAACATGATTGCTTTTGGTGAATATGGATATAAACTGAACTGAACTAAATATTATTTCAATATTTAGGTGATATTATAAACTCTTCCCAATAGTGTGCTCTATTTAAAATATTAGGAGTTTCTTATTATCCTATCTTTTCCTTCAATAGAGAAATATTTTTCCTATGACATCAAAATGAGCTAACACATATGTGTGAGCTACTGTTTAGATGCCTGCGTCACATCTCAGCACATTCCAGCTGCTAGAACAAAACGCCACACTCTACTTAGCTTATAAGACACAGAAACTTGTTTCTTGTAGTTGTGCATGCTGGGAGGTCTGTGGTATCTGAGAAGGGCTCCTTTCCTGGTCTATACATGGTCTCTTCGGTGTATATCCTCACATGATAGAAGGTCAAGGTAGCTTCCCGGAGGCCTACTTTTTTAAGGGAACCAATGAGGGCTCTGCCCTGATGATTTGATGAACTCTCAAAAGATGCCACTTCCTTATACTAAAACTTTGGAGGTTAATATTTGCACCTATTCATACAAGAATCCACACACATGCTTGGATCGTGCCACCCCTCTATGATATGAGGAGCTGGAGGGGAAAGCAGAAGGAGGGTGGAGAGACAGGACATGGAATTGGGGATAAGGATGGTGAGCTAAATATCAAATATTTTCTTCCTTGGCCAAAAGTGGCCGTCCCTCTTTCTGACCTCCATCTCATCCAATTCTGTGACCACCCCTCACTCTGGTCTCCATCCCTCAGCCTTCCTTCTTTGCACAAAATAGCCATGCAGCCTGCTGTCTTCCCCTGGTGCTGCAGGCTCTGCATTTTTACTGATTCTCCCAAAATGGAGGCCCAGTGCCTAGCTCCTGAGGACTCTACCCTCCCACCCCAACTCTCCACACCTTTATTTCTAAACCTTTGTCTTGTGGTTTTAGAGGGCTCAAAGCACAAGAATTTCCCTGTGAAATGCACATACAGATGGAGTGCCTAGCTGGAAGCCAGCTGTGCCAGTTCTTTCCTGATGAGAGGTGTGAAGACATCAAGATCGCATGAGGTGTGCAGGATGTGTTTAGAAACCACACTGATTATGTCCTTGACACTGAACCTTGAATCTATTAATACAATACGTCACCTTATTCCAATTTGTTTCATTTTTCTCATCATCACTGCATAGAATGCATATGTGGCTTTACGTATTTTTTTTAACCCTAACAACAATGCTTGCACTGTTCTAACCCAGGAACCTAGAATTCCAGTCCTGGTATAATCTATGGACATGATTGCTCCTATGCCCAAACAATGAAGACCAGTGGCATATTGTGTCCAGGGGTCAAAACCTGGAAACAACCTAAATACCCACAATTAGTAGAATCAAAATCATGCTGTGGCATATGTAATTAGCAATGAAAATGGTTGAAAACTTGATAATTATTACATTCAACACTGTGAGTGAAAAAGCCATTGAGTGTACACAGTACATTTACAGGTTAATTTCAACCCTCTAGGTGTGCTCAGTGAACAGTTACAGGGTTAACAAGGATAAGAACCTAGTGCAGATGAGTGTGTGGGAACTGCTCAAGGCAGGGAGACAAGTGTCATTAGGAAGTGTATTTGGGAAACTTCTGGAAGCCAGATGGGCTCTAGATGTTGGTTTAGGTGGTGGATTGTTAATCTGAGGCAGTTCATGAATGTGTCTATTCATATTTCATGGCCCTTTGTCTAGATGGCTTTTTACAACCCAGCAAAAGCGATTACTTCCTGACAGCATATCATCACAGGAATTACACTGTTAACCTTGCTGCCGGATTATTTCCTTCTACACAGCACAATGACTAATGGGACATTTTCCACCTAACACCTGGGGAAAGAATAGGAGGCAATCCAGGTCCCAAACAGACAAACAATGGTGCCAGGACTGAGGGGGGGCTCCATTCGGAGATGGTGCTGGCATTGCAGACCTCATCTAATACCTCTGAGCTGACACCAATACCCCTGAGCAGCCTGGACTCTGTGTTTTATAGCTGTAGACTGCAGTATCAAGCACCTCCCTGGAACTGAGAGAATCTTCCTTACGGCTGAGACCCTTCAAGACAGAAACTGTTGTGACCATGGCCAGGGGCAGTACTTGGCATTATCCCGAGAATTTTGTGGGTCCAGCAAGTAGAGTTCCTGGATGTAGGGTAGTCACAGAGCTCCAAATATCTCCAAGATGCATGAAAGGATACCCAAATGCAGAGGCAAGAGGTTGGTGGCCTCCAACAGGGTCCAGCAATCTTGCAGAGGACAGAAAGCCAGACGTGGGGGAGAACCCACAGAAGAGGCCTGAGGTTCCTTCCTCCACTTTCTAATGTGTCCTCCCAAGTTCACCTGCAGACTCATGAGGAGACACTGACACACACGCACCCCAACTACAGACAGAAATGAGTTGAGAGTAACAGCAGTGAAGCAATAGTGAGCAACAGGCAGTAAGGAGAGACCACCTGGAAAAACTGCTGCTTCTCTGGAGTGTGGGGCAGCCTCAGGATCTGAGCAGAGAGAAGCAGGAGTGGAAGGAGTGAGTGTGCAGGAGGGAAGAAGGTGAAGACTCAAGGGCAGAAGGAGCTCCATGAGCAAGATCAGCCCAGCTGCATTAGGTCACACACCAGAGCATACAGGACAGACTCACTGCCTCACTCACAAACCATGTGGTCAAGCTCTGCATAGCGAGGAACCTGATGGGAGCAAGAACAGATGGAAGACAGGAGAGCAGCCTCACCCGGGCATGTCACTCTGCCTTTGAGCACAGCCATCTGAACATGTGAGCACACGCGTTTCCTACCTCCCCTATAGTCTCCTCATTCCTCACCTGCCATGCACTTGGCTCCAGGACTCCCTCAGCCACAAGGCACCACGTCCCTCTACACAGAACTTACACTCACATTCACGTGACCATTCTGAACTCATTCCCACAACCAGGAATTTCTTTAACATGTAAGCAGTAGGTGCCTAAATATCAGCCCTTGGCAGGGCCTCTTCTGTCGAAACCAGAACCCTTGGTTAATGCCACTGGCTGTTTCCTTCTGTGAAACTCATGTTGTGCCATTGAACCCACTGATTAAACTGCAGGCCAGCAGACTGATGAGAAGTGACATTATTCATGCCCTCCCATTTATGTGACAAGTGGCATTGGTGGCCTAGTCCCGCTTGCTGATCTTTTATACAGACATCAGCTTTAAAAAAGAACCCTAAAGAGTGAAAAACACAAGAGCAGGGATTAAAAAAGAGAGAAAAAGGGCTTCAGGGTCATGTTAGAGATGCAGTCTAGAAATCAGAACATTTGCAAGGGAACAAAAGGGGACAATACATTTTCATTTCCTTAGTTTTTCTCTATTATTTATTTGAAAGGCAGAGAGACAGAGACAGAGAGAGAGCTTCCAATTACTGGGTCACTTCCCAAATGCCCATGATAGACAGGGCAGAGCCAGGCCAAGGAGTCTAGAATTCAGTGCAGGAATATGGATAGATGGTCACCAAGAACTTGTGGCATCACCTTCTGCCTCCCTGAATCTGCAAGCATCAAGTGGACGTGGAGCCAGGGTACTCCCATATGGGATGCAGGCATCCCAAGCAGCAATCTAACCCTGTGCCAATTGCCAGGCCCAAAAGGAAGATCAGCCAGAAGGTAAGTCCAGATATGAAGAACAGGCTTTCCAGAAAAATTTAAAAATTGGGCTTTATGACTGCTCAGAAATCACCTTCCTCAGGGAAAATATGATGGGAGTAGGCTCTGTTTCCAGGAAAGGGGAAGGGAGGATAGGGCCCTGCACCATGGCAGGAGGAGAGTGGACAGCCTGCCGAGCCCTCAGAGCCTCTGGACAAGGTTACCAGGGCTTTTGCAAGACCTGTGTCTGAACTTAGACACTTTGTTGCTGGCTAGTTATTCCCACCCTCGTGACCCCTCCCCTGGCAAAAAAATTAAAATCTCCTGTCTCTATCAATCTCATCTGAGGTTAGTGCACTGTGTCTCAGATGGTTTATTTCTAGCGTAGGATCAAAAGCATGTGGCTGCGAGTATCAGATCCATTCAAGGCATTTTTCTTTCTCCTTGGAAGTATTTAAAATGGAGTCAAAGAAGGGAGAACATTGATTTCAGCAGATGCAGGTGACTCAGAAGGCTCTGAGTAGAAAACCTAACTGGCCATGAGATGATGGTACTGAGGTTTCTGAAATTTTCTGTGGCTCCCTTCCTTATTACACAGTAGGTCAAATAGGATTGCATCCTACATAGATTGTCACACAGTTTAAATGAGATGTGCAGGTAAAATACTGATATTGTGCCTTTCACCTAGTAAATGCTCACTACACATTAGCTTTATTTCCAGAAACATTTTAATAAAAGTTGGCCATTTCCAATAATAACCTCTGCATTCCATCAATGAAAAAAGAACCTTCACAAAGTAGAAAATTTACTATAATCCTATGAATCATAGGAAAAAAACCTGCAACTTCTGAATATATAATTATAACAAGAACCATTTGAACCATCATTGTATAAAGAGTTTCTAATAAAATTGGTATAGAATTAAAAATAAAACAACTAAAATTTCAAGGTTGTAAAAAATCTACTATTTAAAAAAAACTAATTTTACAAGATGCTTCTATGCTTGTTTTCATTGGATTGCTAATATTGTTATCTAAATGTGAAGGAGCAGTCACGTTTATCTACAGTCCAAAGGCAATTATGTCGTGGTATGTTTTAGAAGTTATCAGAAGAGGCCGGCGCCGCGGCTCAATAGGCTAATCCTCCGCCTTGCGGCGCCGGCACACCGGGTTCTAGTCCCGGTCGGGGTGCCGGATTCTGTACCGGTTGCCCCTCTTCCAGGCCAGCTCTCTGCTGTGGCCCGGGACTGCAGTGGAGGATGGCCCAAGTGCTTGGGCCCTGCACCCCATGGGAGACCAGGATAAGCACCTGGCTCCTGCCATCGGATTAGCGCAATGCGCCAGCTGCAGCGGCCATTGGAGGGTGAACGAATGGCAAAAGGAAGACCTTTCTGTCTGTCTCTCTCTCTCTCACTGTCCACTCTGCCTGTCAAAAAAAAAAAAAGTTATCAGAAGAAAAAATCTTACTATAGAATGGCTCCAAAGTGTCCAGTAATACTTGTAAATCAAACACATCTGAGTATGTGATGCGTGAGCCCTATCCCCCACTCCCAGTGAAGATCTCTGTTTATTACTTGGAAATGGATTATCTTCTAGATCTAGAAGAAGGGTTGGAAAACTATGGTCCAAGGACATCATTTTTTATTTTAAAGATTTATTTTATTTATTTGAAAGTCAGAGTTACAGAGAAAGAGGGAGAGAGAGAGAATCTTCCATCTGCTATTCACTCACCAATGGCCACAATGGCTGGGGCTGGGCCAGGCTGAAGCCAGGAACCAGGAGCTCTGCTGGGTCCCCTACATGGGTGCAGGGGCCCAAGCACTAGGGCCATCTTTCCACTGCTTTCCCTGGCCATAAGCAGAGAGCTAGATCCGAAGAGGAGCAGCCGGGGAATGAACTGGTACAGTGCCAGTACCCCCAGACACCATGTGATCAGCCGCTTATTTTTCTAAATAAAGTTTTATTGGAGACATTCATATCCAAACAGGGCTTTAACCTGCTGCGCCACAGAGCCGGACCCTTGTCACGTTCTTTATATGAACTGTTCAGTTTATTTGCTGGATACAAGCAGTGTGAATTTTATCACTTAGTCTATGGCTACATTTCCTGCTTCTTAGTGGTGACTGTGATGAACAGAGGGAATTATTTTGGAGAGATCTAATACTCTCAAACTGCCACATTTTATGACTACTGCTTTCAATGTATTCTTAACAAACCTAATCCTCCCCATGGTCAGGAAGGCATTAGCCTATTTTCATCTCAAATGGTTAGGATTGCAGTTTATATGTATAGGTCTATAATATTCCATCTTTCAGTAGAAGATACTCTAGCACAGGACAGAAAATTTCCATCTTTTACAGGGAGCAGAACCTCTTCCCCTTGTTGCCCTTTGATCTCTCTCACATCAGCCTCTCCTCCACAGCGCCCTCCTCAGGGCACCCTTGACCTCCGAATTCCTCAGGCTGTAGATCAGGGGGTTCAGCATAGGGTTGAAAAGGCTATAAAACAGGGAAAGGATCTTCTGCTGCTCCTCAGGGTGGCTGGATCTGGGGGCCATGTACATGACAATGGCACTGCCAAAGAAGAGCCCCACCACACAGAGGTGGGAGGAGCACGTGGAGAAGGCCTTTGTGCGGCCCTCCCTGGACTGGATCCTCAGGATAGCAACCAGGATGCAGGTGTAGGAGACCAGCACCAGGCACAGGGGCCCCACCAAGATGAACACACAGGCTGCAAAGATGACCACTTGGTTGAGCGTTGTGTCAGCACAGGCCAGCTTGAGGACAGACAGGATTTCACAGAAGAAGTGGTTGATTTCATGAGGCCCGCAGAAGGGCAGCCTCAGGAGGAGAACTAAATGGACCACATCCAAGAGGAAGCTAAATGCCCAGCACATGACAGCCAGGACAGTGCACACTCTCCAGCTCATGATGACAGTGTAATGGAGAGGGTGGCAAATGGCCACATACCTATCATAGGACATCACTACCAAAATCAGACACTCTGTGGCAGCAAAGACCAAATACAAGAATGTCTGTATTATGCATGGAACGAAGGAGATGGTTCTTTTCTGGCTCACTAGGTTTGCCAGCATCTTGGGGACGTTGTTGGAAGCATAGGACATGTCAAGGACGGCCAGATGAGAGAGGAAGAAGCACATGGGAGTGTGGAGTCTAGGGTCCAGGCAGATTGTCCCAAGGATGACACCGTTCCCCAGCAGGGTAATCATATACAAGAGAGAGAAAAGGCAGAAGAGGAGAAACTCCAGTGCTGGATCCACCAGGAACCCGAGCAACGTGACTTCTACAATCCATGTCTGGTTGCCTCCCATGCTCCTGTGACTGAGAAAGACAAATCCTCATCTATGACACAAAGGTCAAGGCTGCAGAACAAAGACACAAATTATTTAGTGTTAAAGAGCAGGCGTCTAGAAATGTATCACTTTGCATGAGGGATCCAAAATTTATTTTCAGATATGTTTGATAAACTTAATACATCTGCTTATTAAAATGTGAGAAAATTCACCAAAAGAATAATTGGATAAATATTTATATTGTGTTTGAGTATGTTTGGTTCTTTATTCTTTTGCCTTTCACAATATAGTGACATCTCAGAAGTTACCTTATTTTCCTCACCACCTGTTGTCATGCTCAGAGTCTGTTGCCGTTCATATGTATCTGGGCAGGCTTCATGGGTGGAAGGTTTGAGCACTGGTTGATTTCTAGGGGGCTCTTCCTGGAAAGTCTGTGGATCTGTCCAGCCAGCAAGAAGACAGAAAATCAGGACAGGGACAGATGGAAACATTTCTAGAAACCTTGTGACCTGGTGCTTTATTCACATTTTTTCATTAGCACCATGGGACCTACCTGTATTTTTAAAAATTTTTATTAATATAAAGAGAACAGATTTCATGAATTTCATAGGTACAACTTTAAGAAGAGAACTGTATTTTCCTCTCTCTGTCTCTCCCTCCGTCAATTCTCTTCCTTCCTCAAATGTTCAAATCCAACAAAATCTTAAAAATAATTATTGCAGGGACAGACATTTGGCAAAGCTGTTATGGTGCCATTTGGACCCCACATTCTGTATTTGTTTCCACTTTTCATTCCTGTTTCCTGCTAATGCACACCCTGAGAGGCAGCAGGTGATGCCTCAAGCCCTTCAGCAGAGATAGAGAGCGCGCCCATTTGCTGGTTCATTTCCCAAATATCCACAACAGCAGAGACTGAGCTGGGCTGAAGCCAGAAGCCAGGAGCTCAATCCAGGTGTCTCATGTAGGTGGCTGGAACCTGATTACTTGAAGGATCGACACTAATCCCGGTATCTGCGTTAGCAGGATGCCAGAGTCACAGCTGGAGGTGGGTATTGAACCCAGGTTCTCTGAAATGGGGTGAGGGTATTGTAATTGGTATGTTCTCGGCTAGGCCAAATGCTCACCCTCAACTTATCTTTTCGTTACATTTCCATGAACTTTTGAAGTATATCTTGTATAATATTTTATATGACAAACACATATACATAAAAGTATAAAGCAATATATAACATAAAAGCAGCAAATACTCTTATAATTTAATATATATTGTCAGATATTCTTAGTTCCTATTAATTAGTTCCAATTTAATATCATTGAGAGCAATATTCTTATATACTTAAATTTTGCACATGTTCAACAATATTTCTTTAGGATAAAGTGTAAAAATAAAATGGCTGATGCTGAATATAGAGACATTTCAAAATTTTGCTACCTGTTGCCAGCTGCCCTCCAGAAAATTTACATAATATAAATTTAATAAATTCAAACCAATAAAAATTTTATGTAACTGTAACAATATAAATATCACTCTTTTGAAATGTTCTTTAATGCATATCTGTCCCAACCTTTGTCTCATGCTCTGGAGGTGTAGCAGGGTGTAAGGTAGTCATGTTTTGAACAAGAAACACATAGTGAAGAAGTGACTGCTGGCTGAAATGCTTCTTTTCCACTCTTCACCTTGCCGTTCAGAGGAGAAAAGCTCTCTACTCCCACAGAGAAACGCTTTAGCACATACCTCCCCCTCCTTCCCCTGATGTGTATAACTATGAAACAGGAAAAAGAACCTGAGGTTGTCCCTTGTCCATGCTCTTTTTTTAGTTCATGTGCATTTTTACCCCTTTGGGCACAGAGCACACAGGATCCAGTTCTGTTTCACTGGGCTGTGTGATTTTAATTTGGAGATAAATGTTGCTGAAGGTATAAACCATGTTTTCTAGAAAACCTCAGTAACAAAAATATAGCTATTATTTCTAGCTGATTATTGATTGTGTTTCTCAATTTAATTTTTCTAGACCTGGAGCAGAGAGAGGGCATGGCTCATTACCACCTGTAAAACACCAGGGGTGCATGAGTAAACAAGGCAGCTGTAGATTGTGAGAAGAATTTGCAGAAGTGTCTGCAATGATAGGAAGTTAGGTGGTTTAAAGGGGCTCCTTTAGATGGGCTCTAGGGAAAGGTCATTCACAAGACAAGGCATGTGTAGAGCTTGACAATGAAGGAAATCGCCTTGACCAGAGCCCCAGGAGGAAGGGTCCTTGTGTGAGGAATGGTAGAGGAAGAGTAAGTCAAGTCACTGAGCCAGAAGCACCTGGGGAGTTCTGGGAAAAGAAAGCAACCAGTGCTCCTGACCATAGGGGCAAGAGGTTGTGCACATGAGGAGTCTTCAAAAATTTAGTGGAAATGCATATTACAAAAAATTATGCATGGATTTCAAATGTTTTTGCACAAGGTGAACTTAGGTTTTCATTCTGTTTTCCAAAAAATTTTTGAAGTCTTCACATTTTTTGGCAAACTTTATGTATTTTTTTTAAATTTGGAAGTTACATGAAGATTTATCTAAATGTATTTGGCTACTCTTATAGCAGATTTTATGGAACTTTAGTTTGTGACTAGACATCAGTGTAGGTATATATTGAATGATGTTTTATATTTTATAATATAAATATTTACAGACATATTTTTTGTACCTATTTATACACATGCAGGGTAATTCAGGTAGAAATAAAACTATACTAATGATCATGTCTCCAAAGTAAGAATATGCAGGGACTTTCCTTTTTCATAAACTGGCTGCACTTTTGTTCATGTTTTAGCAAGCCTTATGCAGTATCATGGAAAAAAGAAATTATAATTTGGAAAAAGCAACAATGTATTATAGAATTGAAGTTGTACATTATTTATACTGATTTTCTTCTGAAGTTGCAACAGATTGAGTAGATTTTCTTAGAAATAAATTGGAAAAAAGTCACTGAAGTATGAAAAGGAGAGCATTAAAAAAGAAAGTTGAAATAAAAAAACCTCAATTTCATTTTTTGTTTAAAGACACACTTTTCTTGTTTGTCTTAAACAAAAACAAAGATCAAGAAAATCTATTAGCATGTTCTAAACAGCACTCTGGCCTCAGAATCAGCCCTTAAGGCATTCTGATTTGGCTGAAGAGCTCATGAGAGTATTTTAGGCATGGAAGGCCAAAGACACTGTGGCAGAAAAAACAATGACCTGAATGAAAGATCTCTGTGAGTGAGATCCCAGTGGAAAGAACAGGCCATCAAAGAAGGAGGTACCTTTCTCTGAAGGGAGGAGAGAATTTCCACTTTTACTATGCTCTTGTCTAAAGAAGATCGGAGTTGGCGAAATCAAAAGGCTTCCATAGCCTTGGCAACTCATGACAAGAGCCTCGGGTGATGACTGATGCCATAAACAAGAGAGTCAATTGTTAAGTCAACAGCAGGACTCACTGTGCACTTACTCCACATGTAGGATCTCTGTCCTTAATGTGTTGTATTATGTGAATTAATGCTATAACTAGTACTCAAACAGTACTTTACACTTTGTGTTTCGGTGTGGGTGCAAACTGTTGAAATCTTTACTTAGTATATCTAAATTGATCTTCTGTATATAATGATAATTGAAAATGAATCTTGATGTGAATGAAATGGGAGAGGGAATGGGAGATGAGAAGGTTGTGGGTAGGAGGGAGGTTGGGTGGGAAGCCACTGTAATCCAAAAGCTGTACTTTGGAAATTTATATTTATTAAATAAAAGATAAAAAAATAAAATCAATTAGCTAAAAGTAGAAGTGGATTTTAACCTGAGTCTCAAGCTTTCAATTCTGAAAATATTTCAATGATATATATTTAGCTCAAAGATATCATAAGTGGTACATTTATTGCTCAATTTGTTTTACTGGTGTGCTATACATAGGATGATGGGGCATAATGGGTTAAACAAGGTTGAAAACTATTGTGACATCCACCAAATTGTGAATAAGTACAACAAAGTTCAATATTGGACAAATCTAAGAAACTGAACTTTATCACACAAACATTTTAATGTCTTTACATTTTCATATCTGTAACATATCTTCTGTTTAATTCAAGTTAAAATAGGTGTAGAAAGTCAGAAATACTAAATTTCTTTGCAAGATAGTATTTTGATGAGACAGGATATCTGCTGGGGGTGACGTGGAGATCAGGGCATAAGGAGAAAGGCCACAAGGTGAGTGCCAGGCTGGTGGCCAGGGAAGCCCATCTTAGCCTGCGATCAAATCCTGCAAAAGCACAAGGGACAAGCCTCCATGGCTGTCACCTGTGATGCACACTCTGTGTTGCACCCAGCCAGGGATATAGGACAGGAGGCACTTGGATGCTTCAGCAATCACAAATGTAAATCATTAGCTTCCTTTTGAAAAATGACTTGAATTGTTTATAACAAAACAATCAGAAATTATAGTTTTATATGTTTTTGAATGAAATTTATGGTAGAAAGGAATAGGCTAGAATAAACTATTTATGACAGAAAGGAACAAATATGGACACAAGTAGAATTCTTAGTGAAACAACTTTTCATCAAATATAATCTACACCCTGACTGTATGTAACCCTGGATATTGACTATACGTATAATGTTTCCCATTCAAGGTTATAATGAAACAACTCTAAAGGGGTGACTATTTACATATTCATGTTTTTATCAGCTATTGTGAAACCAAGGAAGGTCAAAAGAACAGTATTGGATAAGGTGAAAACACTTGTTGTTCTTTGATTGGTATGGTTTTACATTTTGGATTCTACAACTTAAAAGTTGGATTTTTAAAAATTTCATTTAAGGTATACAAATTTCATATATACAGATTCAGGAACATAGTGATATTTTCCACCCTACCCTGCAACCTACCCATACTCTCACCCTTCTTCCTCCTCCCTCCTCAATACCCATTTGTATTTTAAGTTAACTTTATAAAGTTAACCCTACACTAGTAAAGAGTTCAAAAATAGTACGAAGAGAAAAAAAAAAGCACTGTTCCTCAACAGTTGAGACAAGGGGTGTTAAAAATGATCGGATCTCAAAGTGTTGTTTTCACTCCTATATATTGCCTTTTAGGAATTTTTATTTCTCTTTGAAAAAGCCCGAAGCAAACATAATAATGATGCAGATACCTGAGATAAGAACTTCTGTGAGTGCCACTCTTGCTGCACATTAGAGACCTTCAGTAGCCAGAAGGAGGTATAAAACTTCATGGATACATTTCTCTGTTCATTGGTCAAATGGCAAAGCAAGCAGTGACTGCAGAAAACAAAGTCCCTGAAGAAGAATGAAATAAACATGGATGACTTGCTGAATGCAATGAACTCATTCTAATCTTTGATTCTCAACCCAGTATGTGAACTTGAACAACTTATGCTGAGCATCACTATTTTCACCCAATAAAGTGATCACAACATGTAGTTAAGGGCTGCTGTAAACAATAAGTGCCATCAGACTGGCACCTACTGACCAGTTTAGTAATACTATTTGTTATTAATACAATTACAGACATCACCAAATGGAAGGAAGGATCTGAGTCATTGGGATTAGAAATCCAACACAGTCGTCTTGGTACTAGAAACACCTCCACATATATCTCAAACTTTTGGTTGTTTTGGAGTTTAAATAAAAAACACACATTTTGTTTTCATCCTATTACTGCTTTTTGTTTTGATTTTTCAAATTAAGTTTTAAACTGAAATTAAGTAGAAGAAACATTTAAATTAACTTCACTCATGTATTGAGGAAGAAAATAAAATACTAAAATCTCAAAAGGCAGTTTGTCCAAGCCAAATATCCCCACAGGAGAGAGAATGCGTTGTGGTGAAGGAAAAGGGGAACATAGGAGATTTAGAGCTAACCAAAACAAGAGCCCTGGGGTCATCCAAGATGGGATTCTGGGGCAGCATGGTTTGTTCAGTCTTTGTACTTGGCTTAGAAATGATTTACTATCTCTGGTAAGTTAACTTGAAACTAAGCTGATCCTAATGAATACGTGTTTTTAAAAATAAACACAGATTCTAGAGTCCTTCTCTCTGGTTCAACCATTTGTGTTGCTATACATTAGCTTTGTGACTTTGCTATGTCTCTCTGCCTCAGCTGCACCAACTGAAAAATGAGGTAGTTCACTCTGCCTCCTAATATAGTCATGAGGATTGAATGAGTAAGACATACAACAAGTGCTTCAAGATAGATTAATTTAGACTCTTGACTTCTACCATTCAGGGGTAATTTCTGGATCCAATACTCATAAGGAGGCTGTAATGTGTCCAAAAATGCTTCTGCTAAAATAAGCAACACAACCAAAATCTTGGCCCCAGCCAGCGCTGGGCATCCCTGTGAGAGAGTGACATCTGCCTCCTGAACAGTTGGGGAATAGGTCCTATTTGCTGAGACTGCTTCTGAGAATGGGCAGGGTAGGCAGGTAGCAGAGAGGAAAATCAGTCTCAGGGCAGTCAAACCACTTGTCACCTCTGATTTAAGGTTTTCATGAGAAAGAAGCAGCAACGGGGCTGCACAGCCCCTGACATTCTTTGTAGCCCTTTAGCCAGATTCTACTGTAGTCTACAAGGATGGTTATTCTTTTCTCTTCTCAGCACAGTCATGACAAAGCCAAGAGCTGGCACAAGGTCAGTTGGAGGATGTGGATGGAGGGGCCAAGAAGTTCAGACCATGAAAGAGGTGATGATCCCCAGAGCTCTTCTCAGAACCCTAGATGAAAACACACAGTGGGGCCATCCTCTCACAAAGACCCAGAGACAGCTATGCCATTCATTGCTCATTACCTTTTGTTGTCTGCAAATGCACAGGAACCACTTTTACTTACACAAGTGCAATCTGTGGCCTTTTCATCAAACTTAGTCTTAGAAGAAGCCTCACAGAGAGGTGAGAAGGTACAGGCTGGGACTGACACGCCTCTCTAAGGGGCCTCACTGGGAGGTCAAACTCAGTCAGGGCTCCCCTGGACTTGATGAAGGAGTTGTTTCTGCAAAACAAAACAAGGCTTTTTCTATCATTCTTGGAATGCAACTCCTTCCCTGAAGACAAAAATAATGATTCAAGGGAAACAACCTTGTGGTAATATATCTAATCACATTCTCTCTAGAGACAGCTGAAGATTTTGTTACTTACCTATCAGCAGATGAACTATTGAGTGCATCTCCCATGTTTATTCATTTTGTTCTTTCAATATTCCCAAGACAGGTGTTACGTGTATTTGCTTGGCATTGTAAGGCAACAAGATTTCTGTTAAGAGGAAAACCATGGCACAGAAAAAAGAAATTCAATGTTTTGCCACCAATAAATATTTATTTTTAAGATTTATTTATTTCTTTGAAAGTGAGAGTTACACAGAGAGAGGAGAAGCGGAGACAGAGAGGTCTTCCATCTGCTGGTTCACTCCCTAATTGGCCACAACGGCCGGAGCTGCACCGATCCAAAGCCAGGAGCCAGGAGCCTCCTCTGGGCCTCCCATGTGGGGCAGGTGCCTAAGGACTTGGGCCATCTGCTACTGCTTTCCCAGGCCATAGCAGAGAGCTGGAATGGAAGTGGAGCAGCCAGGTCTCGAACTGGCACCCATATGGGATGCCGACGCTTCAGGCCAGGGGGTTAACCTGCTGCACCGCAGTGTCGTCCCCACCAATTGATATTTTTCTATACTTATTTATTTAATTACTCTTAAAATTGCTCCACTCTCCAATTCTTCTTCTTTGACTGTAGAAGAAATGCTGAAATTTCTTGATCTCTTGTAGCTATAGGTCCCAGTGAAGAAGAGGCTATTCAAAATATTCACTCCAAGTTTCTCATAAATACTTTTCACTTGGCAAATAGGGAGAGACTTCATATTCTCTCTTGTCTTGAGTATGCCCTCCTTTCCAAACATCTCCAGGTTTCTTAGCCACATTTTTCTTTCCTAGCTTTGTTAGTGCCTATGCTTAGAACAAATTTCTCTCTCTCTTTCTCCCTCTCCCTCCCCCCCTCCTTCCCCCACCCATTCACCTCTTTCTCCTCCATTAATGGATAATGCTTGATGAGTATAAAATCCTTCCATTTTTTTCTTCCTAAGTGTCTAATCAAAACATCTATGAGATTGATTCTTAAACTATAGTCTTAATTCTTTTTTTTAAGAAAAAAAAGTGTATTCATTTTATTTAAATATCAGGAAATAATTAGAAACAGCTAAATGGTTAATGCCTTTGGAAACAATAAATGTCAGTACAATCAAACATGTCTAAAGATATAGAAAAATAAAACATTATGTAGCAGTACAATCACATAGATTGGCATTCTTTTATCTAGAAATATGTCAAACATTTATTTCCATGGGAAACGTAAAATCCATTTTTAAATACTGTAAATGCAATATCATTTGAACTATAATAATAACAAATATATGAGGAAAAATAGAAGGGTATTGCCAAAATAGTAAACAGTAATAATCTGTGAGTGATGTCATTACAGATGTATTTTATATATATATTGTATTTTTATATTAATTTTATATATTGTTGTATAGTCTTAATTCTTAAACTGTAGAAGGAACCCTTCTGAATAATAGTACTGTATTTAATTTATTGTGCATATAAATAAAATATATATTCATTAGGAGGTGAATTTGGGCTATTTCTCTTCTACAATGATGCATAAGAAGGAGAGCTTCACTTCACTTACCTCTTCATTCTGCATCACATGGTATACTTCCTGCAGGTACTACTCCCTATGAGCTCATGCTCTTGAAATTCTTACTCCTGTTTTTAAAGTAAATTTTAATTGTTTTACCTATTTGACTTCAAACATGATATCCATCCTACAAAAACACCCAAAGAGCCATCTTCAACATGCTGACCCAAATTGGTTTCCTTCTATGATAGATCAAAACAATTCCTCTTAGCTTGCTTCTATGTTTTGCTTAAATAACTTGCAAAAATTGTTTTATATTTTAAAATGTGTAACATGCAATACTTATACATTTTAATTGGGGTACAGTATGGGATTTCAACACATAGATGCAATGTAAACCAATCAAACTAAGCAACTAAGGTTTTCACTTCCTTCTCATCATATCATCTTTGCTAGTTCCTTACACAGGATATAACACATTATTGTGACCTATAGTTGCCACATGGTACTACAGAATGCAAGAACTTGCTGCTGCTACCCAACTGGGTTTTGGTACCTATTATATAACTTCCTCTATATCCCCTATCCTTACTCCTCCCAATATCTAGTAATCACCACTCTAAGTTCAGATCAAAGTTTATTTTTTTAGCTTCCACATATGAAATAGAGCATATAGCATTCGTCTTTCTCTGTGTGACTTATTTCACTTTTCATGATGATGTCAGTTCCTTCCATTTTCCTGCAAATGTCAGAATTTTTTTCTGTTTTATGGTTGAATATTATTTGATTGTGTATATATACCATATTTTCTTTATGCTCATATCCATCAATGGAAACTGAAATGGATTCCATATCTTGGCTATTGTAAATAGTGTTGTCATGAACACTGGGGCGCTTTCATATGCTGCTTTCATTTCCTTCAAATATATGCCCAAAACTGAGACAGCAGGGCCATATGGTAGATCTCTTTTTAATTTGTTTGAGGAACCTCCATACTGTTTTTCCTGTGGCTACACTAACTTGCATTTCTTCTCTTTTCTCTACATCCTCACCAGAATTTGTTACTTTATTTATTTAGTCAATAGTCTTTCTTACACTACGGAGGTAATCTCACATCGTGGTTTTGATTTAAATTTCCCTGATGACTAGTGATACTGAGGATTTTTGTTCATTTATTTTATAGCCATTTGTGTTTCCTCTCCTGCGAAAAATCTATTCAGATACTTTTCCTAATTCTAACTGGATTTTAATGATTTTTTTACTGTTGAGTTTTTTGAGTTTCTTATATATTGTGGATATTAATACTTTGTCAGATGCATTATTTGCAAGCAATTGTTCTCATTCTCTTGGCTCTCTCTTCACTCTGTCAATTGTTTAATTTACCAGGCAAAATTTCTTAGTTTGTAATGCCATTTGTCTACTTCAGCTTTAAATGATGGCGTTTGGTGCCTTATATAAAGTTATTGCCTTTGCCAAAGCTTGACCTATGTCCACTGTTATTTCTTGTAGTTGAAAAACTTAAGGCCGTACATTTAGATCTATAATCCATTTAAGTTCATTTTTGTATAGGATGAAAAGTAGGGGTCAATATTAATCTTCTGTATATGGAGATCCAGTTTCCCCAGCACCATTTATTGAAGAAACAGTATACTTGCTTTGAGCACTTTTGTCAGAGATCAATTATTTGTAGATGCATGGATTAATTTCTGGAATCTCCTGTTCTGACCTATTCTATTCATCTTTGTGTCTATTTTCATGCGAGGACTGTGCTGTTTTGTTTACAATAGCCCTGGAGTGTACCTTGAAATCTTGTATTGTGATTCCTCCAGCTTTGTTCTTTTTGTTCAAGATTGTTCTGGCTTTTTTGAATCTTTTGTGCTTATACATGAATTTTAGTATTTTTAATACAATTGTGAAAAATGTCATGAATATTTTCATGAGGTTTGCATTGAATCTGTAAATTGCTTTGGGTAATATGGACATTTTCATATTACTTCTTGCAATCCATAAATATGAGTAGTCTTTTTATTTTCTGTGTCTTTTCTATTTCTTTCTTTAGTGTTTTGTAATGTGCATTGTAGAGATCATTCACTTCCTTGGTTTCATTTGCTCCAAGGCATTTTTTTTGGTAGTTCTTGTGAATGGGATTGCTTTTATCATTCTTTCCTCAGGGAGTTAATTACTGGTGTATAAAAATGCTACTGATTTTGTATCCTGTGACTTTACTGAATTTGTCAGTTCTAATGTGCTTTGGAAGAGTCTTTATGTTTCTCTGTATATAGAAGCATATCATCTGAGAATGAATAGTTTGACTTTCTCCTTTTTATCTGTATTCCTTTTATTTCTTTCTCTCTCCTAAAAATTCCAGTACTATATTGAATAAGAGCAGTAACAATAAATATCCTTGTGTGGTTCCAGATCTTAGAGGAAATGCATTCGATTTTCCCCCATTCAATCTGACACTGAGAGTTGTCACATATATAACATTATTATATTGAGGAATGTTTCTTCTTTTATGAAAGAGGAATGGGTGTTGAGTTTCATAAAATGATTTTTTGCATTGATAGGAATAATTATATCATGCTTATCCTTCAATATGTTGATATATTAAATTTATTGATTGGCTTATGTTGAAACATTCATACATCAAGGGATAAATCACATGTGATCATGTTGAATGATGTTTTCGGATTCTATTTGCTAATGTTTTATTGAGGATTTTTGCATGCTTTTCATTGGGTTATTGGTTTATAGTTTTTTTCATTGGGTTATTGGTTCATAGTTTTTCTTTTCTTGTCTGGTTTTGGAACTGGGGGTCTCTATTTCTCCCTCTCTAAACCAGATAATTTCTACCAGCCATCTCTCCTGGTTTCATGTAAACTGTCAATCAGTGTATAGATAATGATTCTTACAGAGTAAGGTGGAATTCCTGGTCGTTCCCTCAAATGCAATGTACAGAAAAACTCAGAGATGGGGAAAGGTTGATGCTGAATCACCTGCCCCTGAAGCAGGTTTGGTGGACGATGAGTCCCAGTTATTCTTTCTGCCCTGAGGTTTGGGACAGGACACAGCACTACTCAGGAGTCTTCTAGATGGGAGAGCTTTACCCTCTGATCACTTGAACACAGCCCACTTCCTGGAGACACACCTGTGGAGTGCAGGGAACAAAATCTGAAGTTTCTATCCACCAATCTGTCTTCCCTGTAGAGCAGTGTGACTGCTTCCCCTCTACCTCTGGCTCTCCAGCTCTGTCATCCTCTCTCTCTCTCTCTTTCTCTCTCTGTGTGTGTATGTGTGTGTGTGCACGTGCACAAACATGTATTAATGCAGAGCAGTGAGAGCTCAGCAAGACTGGCAGGGTGTCGCTCCCCCTCTTCGTGGAGGAACGACACTAAACCCTGCCTAGGCTTCATATCCGAGTCACGGCACCATTATGTCGCTCCCCCTCTTCGTGGAGGAGCAACACAGGACCCTGCGCTGTTCTTTCTGTCTGCTCGGCCCTTCCCGGGTTTGCTGCTGGTTCTTCCCGGGTTGGCTACTGTCCCTTCCACCTCCGTGGAAGGGCAGTTCCCCCTGGCCACATTCCCCACTTCCGCAGGGGAGCAGCACACCGCCGGCCGGTTCTCTCGGGGGCTGCACAGGTGTTCCCCTTAGATGTTCCCCTTAGATGTTCCTGGTGCATGCCGTCTCTCTCCTCCTTTATAGTCCTCTTCCACCAATCCCAACTCTGCTACCCACACGCCGAGTACGCTGCTCTCCAATCAGGAGCAAGTCCTACAGTTTATTGGCTGAACTGGAGGCAGCTGTGTAGAAGCCTCTTTCTTCTCTCCCAGCGCCATATTGTGGGAGAGCAGATGCACAGAATAAGTCTTAATTCCAGTAACAGTATAGTCCGAGTTGCTCCCCACAGCAGGGGTCAGGGAAACTTCCAGTCCTATGTCCCAACATTAAGGATTATGTCACAGAGTGCAGCATCCAAGGATTTGGACCAACTGTGTACTTGATCTGGGAATTGTGCCTGTCTCCACCCTCCCCTTTGGAATGGCTGAACGTTCATGATGTGACAATTGCGAACCCATGGAATTTATTCAGGCAGCACCTCCAAGGCTCAATCCTCCCTTGGGAGAAAACAATGTTGATCTATTACAGACTGTTTTCCTGAAATGAGTTACCAAATATTTCCATTGTAAATGTATTGTTTAATTTGGAAGCTCATGGAATTGAATACTATTTATTCAGCGCTACCCTGGCTTCTTCAATTGCAAGCCACTCTATACTTCTCCCACTGTAAAGCATATCTTTGGCCGGCGCCACAGCTCAATATGCTAATCCTCTGCCTGTGGCGCCAGCACACCAGGTTCTAGTCCCAGTCGGGGCACCAGATTCTGTCCCGGTTACTTCTCTTCCTGTCCAGCTCTCTGCTGTGGCCCGGGAGTACAGTGGAGGATGGCTCAAGTCCTTGGGCCCTGCACCCGCATGGGAGACCAGGAGAAGCACCTGCTCCTGGCTTAGGATCAGCGCGGTGTGCTGGCCACAGTGGCCATTGGGGTGTGAACCAACGGAAAAGGAAGAGCTTTCTCTCTGTCTCTCTCTCTCTCACTGTCCACTCTGCCTGTCAAAAAAAAAAAAAAAAAAAGTAAAAGCATATCTTTGCCACCTCCTTCCCCAAATATATATTTACTTTCAGACTATATTGTTAAGTTTTTATTCCAAGAATTTCAATGTTACATTATAATCATATGGCAGAGCCAGCCTTGTGGAGCAATGGTTTATACCAAGGCCAGCATCCCATGTCAGAGCACTGGTTTGAGTTCCGAATGCTCTACTTCTGATCCAGCTCCCTGTTAATGTGCCTGGGAGATCAGCAAAAGATGGCACAAGTGCTTAGGCATGTTATTACTGCAGAAGTCATTCTAGGAGTCTGTTTTGTGGACTGCTTCCCATGTTGTTGGTCCTTTCCTTCCTTTTTTTAATTCTATTATTTTTACTGGGTATTTGATGTTATTTATGTCATCCCTTTTAAATTTATACTGGTTTATCTGTTGCCTTTAACATTTAAGTTGATCATTGTAACAGTGAAGATGGTGTTTATACCACTAATTCTTATGGGTTTGGTGCTTTAAAATAC